GGGTGGGGGGCGGCCCCCCGGCGAGCCGCCGCGGGGCAGGAGGGGCAAGCAGGCTCCGCGCGCGACGGCCGCTGTCTTGGGCACGCGATGCCGGCGGGTCTGGGCCCGCTGCTCGAGCCCATCGGGCTTTCCAGGGCTGTTCCTGAGCATGTGGCCACGGGTGGACATTAAACACGTGTCCATGGATATGTACTCTCCTCTCTGCGCCCCCCTCCCCTGCCCATCGCTGAAGTGACCCGGGTTGTTCCTGGGCTGGAAGAGCGAGATGAGAGGAGCACGTGGAAACCCAACACGAAACCTTTAGCAAGACAGGCCCCACGTGCCCCATGGACCCCAAACCCGGCCAGCGCCGCCTTGCCCCCTGCCTCGGTACACGTGCACCGCACAGCCCTAGGAAACACACCCGTCGCACCGCTTCGCAGAGCCATTTGGTGCAGGGACTTTCTCTGGCAGGTCTCGATGCCTGGCACAGACACCCGGGAGCAATGCGCTGCCACAACCCACCCCGCTCCCCGGAGGGTCCCGCTGCCGCCCGCCGCTCCAGGCCCTTTCCTTGCCCAGCCCGGAGGCTCCTCGCAGCCAGGCACGGTCACATGCCCAGCGCCCAGCGGGAACCCCGAGCGCTCCTGGCCCTGGGCTCTGCGTTTCAGCCTCCTGCCTGCCCATGCCAAGCCCTGTCCCCGGGCGCCGCACTCGGGAAGGCTGGCGCTGCGTGGTCAGACCTCGGCGCAGCCCGGGAGCCACGCGCAGGAAGGAGCAACGTGTCCCCCCAGAGCCTGTGCCCGCTCCAGCCCAGGCGCTGGTAGCGCCCCGCACCGGGGTGGGGAGGCTGCAGGTTTAGGTTGAAACCGAAACAAGCTCTGAAGAGCGAGGGCCCTGCGCTCTGGCCTCGGAGAGGCGCTGCCTTTCCTGGAAGACGCGCGCTCTGGCCCCAGAGCGGCGGTGCCGTTCCTGGCCCTGCTGAATGTGCAGCGAGCGTCTGCAGCTTGTGCGAGGCCAGGGGAAACTGAGGCTGGCCGCTCCGCAGCGACGGCCTCAAGACCTCGGCTGGACGTGCTCAGTGGGGCCTGAGCAGGGAGCCCTCGGCCCCCCGCAACCCTGCCGAGTCCGGGCACGACAGCGGTCGCATCAGGGCTGCCTTGGAGCACCCAGGCTGGCGCGGGGGCGCGCGTGTGGCTTGGCTCCAGGCTCAGAGCGGCCACACACAAGGGCTTTGTTGGGAAGAACAGAGAGACGGTGTTTCTCTGTGCGCAGAGTTTCCTGGAGGGGCAGAGGCAGCTAGCTCTTGGGATGAGACCTCCGCGGGCCAAACCGCATTGCCCTGCCAACACGAGGCACGTGTATTGCAATGCAGCCGGGTCAGGAGCTGCCCGACGGTGCAAGCTGGCCTAGCTTCGCTCCTCCCCATCCCACTGCCCGGCGGGGTCCGGGCCGGCACCGCTGCGTTCTTCGGGTAAGTGGGACTGGAGACAGAGACGCTCCCAGTCGCCAGCTACGCGAGCACAGCCCAGCGCGTGACGGGGGGGCTCCGGGCAGAGCTGGAGGCCTCGCCCGGCTGGGGCACGAGAGGAAAGTTGCGGCCGTGGCTCCGACATCACCCTTGCTCCTCCCCTCCCGCCACCGCTCGCCTGGGCCTCTGCTCTTCTCAGCTCCCGTGACTGAATTAGGGCACTGCCTGCGGCGGCGGGGGCAGGGGCAGGGGCAGGGGCACGACGGGGCACCAACGCGGCCGGGGAGAGCTGCCTCCCGAGCCAGGCAGCCGGCGCAGCGCGGCGCGACTCACGCCCACTCACCCAGATCAGCGCGGCAGCGGCAAGTTCAGAAACCTATCAGCGCGCCGTCATCTCCTCGCTTCCTGGCGTGACACCGAGATAAACTGCTCGCTTTCTCACTGCTTCTCCAAGGCCTTTCGGTGCAGAGCTGCCATCGGCAGTCACTTGCCCTGATTTCCCCTCACCACCACCACCACCCCCGCCGCTTCGTAGCTCGAGAACCACAAATCTCCCTTGGGGCTGGGAGCTGCTTCTGCCCGAGCAGCTACGTGGCACTTCAGTTCGGCTGGCACAAGGGTCCTTTTGGGCGGCCCCGAAGCCCGGGACCCCGGGGCGGGAGCAGGGCGGCTCGCTTGCCCCCTGGCAGCGCGTGCTTAGCGCAGAAGCGAGGCATCTGCAACCCAGCAACCTCCAGGGGTGCGTGGGGGCCCAAATGCAGCTACCGAGAGCTGCAGAGGCGCCAGCAGGGACAGCCGGGACGGCCCCAGAGAAGAGACGTGCGATGAGCCCCGCTGCCCCGAGCCAGGTCAACCCCCTCAACCCAGGCGCCGATTGCCCCCGCCCAGAGGGAAGGATGCTGCCCCTGGAAGGAGCCTCCCCGCGGCACCCACCGCCCACCCGCAGGCAGCCTTCGTGCAGAGCCCGGCCAGGCGCGGGTCGCCTGCCCCCCGCCCCCCGCCTGTTCCCCAAGGCCTTGCAAGCGACTCCTGCAGGAACCGCCCGGCTGCATTACCGGGCCTGCGGGCGACGTGCTGGGGGCAGAGCCCGGCTTGCTGCCAGCAGGCCTCCCACCGGGGCAGCCTCAGCAGGGGCTAAAGGTTCAAGTGAGCGTGGGCTGGCCTCCAGACGCCTGCCTCTCCCGCGGACGGAGCCAGGTCCTCCCAGCCGAGAGCTCGGGCACGTGCCCTAAGGCTTGCATGCAGGCCTGGGGAGATGTAGGACAGGGGAGGAAGGCGGTGGAGAGCAGGGTATCGGCGTGTGCCAACCAGCAAAACCTCACTTGTTTGCCAGGAGATAAACATCAAGCGGCTCCGAGCTGAGCGCACCGCAAGAGCGGCAGCGACACGCCTGTGCGACGTCCGCCCACGGAGCATCTGTCCTGGACGCCCCAACTGCTTCTGCCCCTGCCTCCGCTTCTGCAGCCCGACCAGCGCCCGCTCCGCGCCAGCCTCGCAGAATCCCCGCTCCCTCCTCCGCCTCGTGCCCCGCAGAGCTGGGCTCCGGGCTGCCGCAGGCCAGCTGCAATGCAAATGCCTCCGCGCCGCCCCGAGGCAGCCGAGACTGGCTCCGAGCTTTGAGGTGTTTTCCTGTTCAGGACACGGGGTTTCCACGTGCTCTGGGCAGGCAGCAGCCTTCAACACCTCAGCCCGAGCTTGGAGCGTCTTCCGCTGCCGGACGGCAAAGGGAAAGACAAGAAACCAGCTCCTCCGAGTCCTGCCAGACGCAGGCGTGCGCTCCACCCCGGCTCGGCTCCCACGGCCCCCGCGTAGCGAGTCCACCGCTCTGCTCCCGGTCCCCCTCCGGCCCGGGGGAGCCAGCAGCCCTGTGACCCTCTCCGTCTCGTCGCCGTGGCGCAGAAATGTCACCCGCACCGAGTCCTATCACCCGTCATCAGGCGGTCCCAGAGCCGCCGGCCCGTCCGTCTCCTGTGCCCCTGGATTTCGGGGCACTTGCGAACGGTGCAGGGAGAGACAGGCGAGGGGTGGGCTTGAGCCAGCACGCAGCCCCGCGCCCCTCTCGGGACCAGGCACTCGTGTCCCCGCCACGGATGGGCCGGCAGCAGGGAGCTGCGCCGATGCACGGAGATGAACAGCTGCCCCGGCGGCGCAGCCACGGAGCCGCCAGCTCCTCTCGCGTGCTTGCAGTGCAGGGCATCGCTAGCGTGGAGGGCGCCGTCCTCCTGGCGCCCCAGGGCAGCCCGGCCACGTGCCGTGGCAGGCGCGTGCCGGGGGCTGGAGGATCACGCCCGGGAGAGCCAAGACCAGAAACTCCTCTGTGGGACCACGTGGGACCCGGAAGGCCCTCGACGCCACTGCTCTCAGGCACTGTCCTCGGGCTATCTGCCCGGGGCAGGGACTGTCCCCTGCAGCTTATCCACGGCCACGTCTGGCAGCTGGACACCTGAACCCGGTCCAAGCAGGCAGGCCTCCGTGACCTCGGCAGCACAACAGCCCTCTTGCCCCTGGGCTTTCACGCGAGGGGAGGGGAGACAGCAGGGGACGGCGGCTGTTCGGTGCTCCACGCCTGTGCCACACGAGGGCACCAGAGGCGCGTGGCTGTGCACGGACCGGAGCTCCGGCCTGGCCGCGGCTCCCGAGCCTGGGAGCAGGAGGGCCTTTTGCAGCCTGGGCTGGACGCGCTGCTCCTCGGGGGGTTTACCCAGGCAGGATGCGACAGGCGAAGCCCTGCGCTCTGTGCCTCTGTGGTTGTGCTCTCAGCCCCCAGCCCTGCAGCCCCGTGCGGGGGCCTTGGGACCGCAGAGCAGGGCTGCCCCCCAAGGAGCGTGGCCCCGGCCTTGCAGCAAGGTCAGCACGGCAAGGCCAGGACCCCTGTTTTTACGGCTTATGCAGAAGCGGCAGCTCCGGCTCCACGGTGCACGCGGACACCGGCCCTGCCCAGAGAGCCCCGGGCTCCATCGTCCACGCTGGCTCTGCCACGGGCGCCAGCCCGGAGGACGCGGGCCAGAGCCTGCACCGTGCAAGGGAGCGCGACAGGGCCCCAGCTTGCACCAGGCAGGGGGAACCACGTCCTGGGCTGTTCTGCAAGTGTCCCTCGCTCTGCCCCGGCCCCGCGCGCACGGCCAGCCCTCCCAGGCCCCTGTCCGTGGCCACCACGCTGCAGCTCAACGACTGATTTTTAACACTGTTTTTACAGGTCGCCCTTCCCGGTTTCCCAGCCGCCTGCCTGGCCCACACGCAGCCGGCGAGCACAGCCGGGAGAGAGGCTGTTAGCTGCAGTAAATGTCAGCCTTCCTGACAAACACCCGTCTCTGGTTTCCCAGGGCAACAGCTCGCTCCGTGAACCCGACAGCACGCCAGCACCGAGCTCCCGGCCCGTCGCAGCCACGCACACGGCTGCCAGGTCACGGGCGCGAGACCGCAACCCAGTCAGCCTGGCCCCGCTGCTGTCCCGGCCCTGGCTGGCCACGGGCTTCGTGCCTCAGTTTCCCTAGCTGCGAGGCCGATGCAACCAGGCTCCCCCGGCGCAGGGGCTGGGCAGATACGCAAACTGGTGCTCCAGCAGCACCGCGGGACGCTCTCGGGGACTACAGTTATTTGTGGCCGTTCGCCGACTGTTTACCTCGAAAAGCGAAGCTGCTGGGAACGCGACGCGCCTGGCAGCGCGCAGAGGGTGGGGACACGGGGCACATGGCCCTGTTTGTGTCTCGGGGTTATATTTGCCTTGTTTATGCCGCGGTAAATTCCTAGAACCGGGGAGCGAGGGGGCCAGTTTCCCACCCGCCCTGCTCCAGACCTCAGCACTTTCACAGCTGTCCGGACACTCGATACCCCGCAGCGAGGAAGCGCAGGTCCGGGAGGGGAGAGGCTGCTGCTGCTTTCCAGCTGACGGGCTCGTTCCTGGGAGAGGGCAAATTGTGTCACTCTCACGTCACCACCGCCACCATCCCTACCGCACGCCTCCCTACCACGCCCATCCCTACCGCACGAGCATCCCCACCACCAGCATCCCTACCGCGTGCATCTGGCAAACAGCTGGAGCCAGTCAGGTACGAGGCGGGGACCCAGAGGGGACAGAGCAGCCACCAGCAAGCAGGAGTCTGCAGCCAAGGAGTGGGCCGGAGAGACCGCGCAGCCACCCCTGGGCCAGGCCAAGGAGGCAGCGGGACCGCGCAGGGCAGAGCGACGGCTGCAGCCCGAGCTGTGGGCGCACAGCACACCCAGGGCAGTGGCTCCGCTCGGGCCACCACGAATCCTTCCAGGCGCAGACACAGCCGTCACCTGCCCATCGAAGCCGCCACACCCTGCAGCTGAACCCCTGCCAGCTCTGCCTCCATCGCGCCTGAGGCTTTCCAGGCTCAAAACCACAAAGCTGTTGTGTTCACGGCCAAAACTGCCATTGGGTGTTGCTGAGCCACGGGGCGGCTGCTGGCACGGGGCACGGAGGGCACCAGCTGCCAAACAAGACGTGAGCCCGTGCGGTCCAGGGCTGTATCGGACAAGGGGGGTGGGGGTGCAGGAGACACGACCCCCCCACACACCTCCCGGACCCGGCATCTAAAACTCAGCCCCAGGCCCTGCCAGGGTCCCGGGCGGTCCGAACGCAGCCCAGCCCGACGTGCTGGGGCCACGGGATGCAGACACCGGGGAGTCGGAGCAGCCCCGCGGGAGGACGGGCGTTGTTCGCACCGTGTCTGCACAAGCTACTCTTTAACCCGTCTCGATCTGGAGACTTTGCTCGGTGACGCGTCCCAGCGGCAATCCCCCGTCTTGTCACCGCCGTGCTTTGTCCAGCCTCGGCCTCCAGCCCTCGTCCTCCGTACGGTCCACCCAGTCTAAGGGCTCGTTAGCACCCGTTTTTTTCTGTTTTCTCCCCAGGAAGGCGCTTGCACACGAACCAAGCCCCAGTCTCCTGCGGCTGTGTGGACACGGCTCATTGAGGCCCTCTCGCCGAGGCAGGTTTCCCCCAGTCCTTCGAACCGTTGTGCGGCTCCTTTCTGCTCCGCTTTACCGTGCGACAGCGCTCCAGCACGGCCCCGGGATGAGTCCCATCGCTGCCCCCTCCTCGCGCGCGTCTCGCAGCACCGCGGAGCGCGGGCCCCCGCGCAGCCGGCAGTCCTGGGCGCGGGCGCAGCTCCCCGTCCCGGAGGCACGACCCATGCTCCTTGCCGACCCATCGATAGCTTTGGACTTGGATGTAGTAAAACCTCATTGCATTTGCCTGGACCCAGCTTACCGACCAGGCCGTATCCTTCCACGTGGCAGCCCTGATGTCACATTTTACGCTACGGCCTTCCACATCGTGGAGGAGATGTTTGAACAGCGCCAGGCCTGCTACCAAGCCCCGCAGACCCCCGCCTAAACCATCCCCAGGTGACGGCCCTGCTGACAGCCACTGTCAGCGAGCTAAGTCGTTAATTGATTTGACATTTGTATTCGTGCTAGTCTAGAAAGCTGGCTTTTCCATCAGAAATGTCATGCTGCACTTAGTCAGGTCTCTCGCAGAAATGCCAAACTGCGGCACAGCGCCCGTTACCAACCAAACCCGCCATCCCAAAGAACAAGCTCCGAGGCGGGCGCCCAGGCTGGTTTCCCACGCCGCTGCGCTGCCTGGCGGTAGCCGTCTTCATCTCCATGACCAGCTGCAATCCTGCACCGGCTTGTCCGCTGTTTTGCCCCAAAACCAGCGTTGGGAGAACACCCTGGCCACCCCAGACCTCGTCTCCCCTTGCCAGGGAAGCGCTGGGACATCCCGATCCAGGACCAAATTTGCACCAGTTGCCCAGGAACCCCTCAGCCCATTGTTCGGACTCTTGGCTGCCGAAGGCCCAACAGCACACACGCCCTGTTCAGCCTCCCCTCGGGGACAGGTGGACAAGACAGCACTTTGGCACCCGCATGTGCCACGACCGCGTCACCCTGCCTCTCTCAATAGGAAGCAAAACAGACTGGATGCTTCTGCCGCCTTTACATCACAAGTCAGCTTTGGCACGCGGGCCGGGATGAGGACATAACAGCTATTTGCGGGGTCTTGCCCAAGGTCCCGCGTCACGGGGTGCCACCGGAGCTCCAGAGGTGGGAGCCACGCGTGCACGAGCAGATCCTACGCAGCCCCCTCCCACGGACTGCGTCCCGGGTGCCCACGCCCGCAGCGCGCCGGGACGGACCAGGCGGAGGCGCGGGCTGGCAGCGCGTTAGACGCAGGCAGTAAATTCCTGCCTCTCTGCTATTTTCCTGACACGGGCGAGATTGATCCCCGCGTGGATTCAAACGCAGACCGTCCGCGCCAAGTCACGGGGCTGCGCCGCTCCTGCTCGGCAGCCTGCCGATGCCCGTCTGATTTGGGAGCGGAGGGAGCAGCTGTCACACGAAGGAAACGCCAGTCAGCAAAATGACTCTCATAGCTTCTGCCGGGCGTCAGCCAGAGCCCGATGCTCTCCGGGTCACGGAGGGACACAGGAGCGGGGTCCGACTCGGCCTCGCCATTCTGCTCCCAGCTGCCCCTTGGAGCCTCCCGAGCACGAGGCAAGCCGGCAGGGCTCTGCCAGGGCGGTCGTAAGCGCGAAGCTGGCACGAGCGGTTTGATCGCGTTGAGAAATCAAGTGCCCAAAGGGCAGGGCCCTTCCAAACTGTAGGCTCCCTCCCCACGAGGTCCAAGGCTCGGGTCCCCTGTCCAGGGCCTGCAGCCAAGCCCTTGGCCCAGCAGTCCCAGAAAACCAAACCGGCTCCTGCAAGTCGAGGAGGTTTTCCGCCCACTAGAAATGTTCCCAGCACTTCGGACATTGTGATCCCGAATCCCAAACGGCTCAGCACTCCCGCAGCGAGGGCCGATGTCTGCGGGAGGGGGGCACTGCAACAAGGGGTGGGAGAGGAGCAAGCAGCCGGGGGCACCGGTGCCACTCAGCCACCTCCTCCCCAGCACTCAAACAGAGCGATGGCGGGGCAGGAGACCATGCACAGAAACTTCCCCGCCGGCGCTGCGGAGCAAGAAGGCCAGAGCAGGTCCAAGCTGCGAGCTGGGCTAGAAAGTGCTTGGTAAGGGCTGGAGCTGGAGCAGGAGCAGGAGCAGGAGCAGGAGCAGGAGCTGGAGCAGGCGGCAGGTGGCAGCCGCGGTGCGAGCAGCGGCCCCGCTCAGCCCTGCGCAAACACTCCTCCTTGTTTACAACTCTGGGCAGCGCCGTGCAGCCCCGTGCACCGCGCAGCGCAGCCAGCCCGGCTAGCCGAGGGGCGGCCACATTCGCACCTACAGTCACGTGTACAACCGCCCTTAGGGACTAACTAAAGCAGAGACGTAAAGCACCAGATTTCACCGCCCTCATGCAGGGACTTCACGGCACATGATGAAGTCAGCCCTGGGCTTGCGAAAGCCAACATAAAAGGCACGAGCTTACACCACGGTGCCAGTTCCCAATACCCCCCCCGCCCCCAAAGGGAACGGCTTCGAAACACCAGCGCCTCGGTAGCGACCCCGGCTCCTGCTCCGTCCCTGCCAGCGAAGCTGGGGTCGTTGCGGGAGCGTTTGCGTGTCACGTGCCGGGACAGCAAGTGTGCTCGGTCTACTCTGCACCACGCACAAGCTGGCCCCCCGTGGCAGGGCGATGCTGCGGCGTCCCACCACCGTGCCGTTGCCACTTGCATCAGGCGTGCGGCTCAGCCTCCGCTGCGTGTCGGCCACCCGCACCGCCCCCGTGAACCGCCTTCCCGCAGCGTCCGGCGGAGCAGGCCGCGGCCCGGGAGCTCGAGCCTCTCCGAGCGAGTTCGTCCGGGAGGCGCCGCCTGCCAAACCGCTGCTCGCTTCCTGCCTTGTCTGCTCAGAGCAGGGGACCCTGCGCAGGCGTGCCGGGGTGGGAGACCTGCATCTCGGCCTTGCCAGCGGTGCAGACACGGCCCGGGGTTTCTCGCGCAAACAGAAGTGTTTCCTGGGTCAGCTCACGGCACAAACAGGCCTGCCGAAGCCATGGAGCAAGTCACGGGTCGCAGCAAGGACAAGTCCTCCCCTGGCCTCGCCGCAGCGGGGCCGGCCCCGCGTCCCGGCAGGAAGGAGGGCAGGGGCTGGCTCCCTTCCCTGCGGCCGAGGGGAAGGGGCTGTCATGCTGCAGAGACCAGGCAAGGCTCAAACTGAGCGGGGTGGGGACGGCGGGACTGGGAGGGCCGGGCACCTGGCCCTGCCGCGGGGACAGCCCGGCCAGACCCAGAGCGAGGAGAGGGAGGACGGCCGGACAGACGGACGGACTTGTCCACCTGCGGCTCGCGAGGAGGAGCGTGCGAGGCGAGCAGGCTGGACGCTAGCGGACTTCCATCCCGCTGTATCGAGAGGGAGATGGCAACGGATGCGCTCCCGGGACAGATGTGCAGGCGCGGCTTCCCCAGACGCTGCCGTGCAAGACCCCGGTCTCACGCTCGATCAGAGCTCGAGCCAAAGACATTTGTTTCTCTTTGATCAAGGACAAATGGGCAATCAGCCCATAGTGCTGCCAGGCGCTTCGACTGATGCCCGAGGAGCTCCAGCTAGAAGCGCGCGGGGACGGGGCAGGCGTCCGGCCCAGAGGAGCCGGTTGTTTGTGCCAAGCCTGCTCCGTGTTTCTCCTCTCCTCCCCGCTGCCTCCGGCACAGACCGGTCGCAGCTTCGTCACCTGACACCGAGTCTGACTCCGGAGCCAAAAGAGGCTGCATGCGGGAGCTCTGCCCTGCCGGACCTTTGTAGTCTGTGCCCACAGATTTCGGCAAGGGCAGCCAAGTGGGCCCATTTGTCGGCTGTAAACAGTTCGCAGGGCAGCGGCTGCCGGTTCCAGAATTGTTTGTTCACATCTCGGGCTTTCAAACTCCTTCCCCAGCGTCTGTCTGGGACCCGACGCCCCGGAGCCCTGTCCCAGGACCCCCCTCGGCGAACGCCCGCCGTCCCACCAGCCTCCCCCAGCTCCTTGGACTGGGCCCCGGGGAGCAGGAGGACGCGGAGGCCGTGGCCAGCGGCACACGCTAGGCTGCCACAAGGACACTGTTGAAAGCGTCGCGAGTGGCCAAATGCCCCGGGCACCCGCACGCAGCTCCGCTAGCTACAATAGCGAGCTGCCCTGCCGTCCACCCCTGTCCACCGACTGTGCTGGGGCTGTACGTGCCTTGGCCCCAGGCGGTCCCATACAAACATGCCAATTCATAGAAAAACAGCCCGGCGGGTTGTTTCACGGACACTTTAGCCCCCTGCGCCCAGTATGTGAACACAGCCGGGACACCAGCTCTCTGAGGCACACAACAAGCAGCTGGGTTACCAGCCCGGGCAGGATGTGCCCGCTGGAGGGACGCGGAGAGGAGAAGCCAGCTCTGCCGGGAGGGCCCGATCTGCGGACACATGTACCTGGCGAGCAGAGCGGTAGCAGACACACGGCTCCTTCCAGGAGCAGCCCCTCGCAGAGGCACTGCCCAGCACGCGGGTACCGGGAAGACGGCAGCTGCTTGTATTCTCAGAGCCGGGCACGTGACCGTGCTGGCACGCGGGGCTGGAGCTCGCGGTGTGGGAGCAGCTCCTACCGCTTGCGGCTCACAGCGGACATCCAGCCAGGCCCTGCTGGCGGCTTCCTTGCCAGCCCAGACGTGCCGGAGGGGGTACCGCTCGCCCCGTCCGCGTGTATGTTGAGGCAAGGCGCCAGGCAGACCTGCACCTTGCAGGCCGGCTCGATCAGCAGGCGCTTTCCAGAGCTGGCGCTCACTTCAGATGCACCGAAGGGACGTGCACAGGGCACCGGAGCGGGGCAGGGCCGGGAGAGGCAAACGAGCCACAAGCTAGTCCAGGTGATGGGGCGAGCGTCCATAGCAGCATGCAGAGCCCTGCTGCCCTCCCATGGGGCACATGAACACAGAGCTCTCCTGAAGTGGCCGCTTCGCCACCAGCTCCTATCGCATCACCGTTGGGATGGATGGACAAGCGTGCAGGAACTGTTTTAGC